ATGGACGCGTGCCCCCACCATCCTTGGGTACCACCAACCACCTGGGCTCTCTGGCCAAGCCCGCTGGTGCATCAGCTTATATTGAATTCTCACAGGATTCAGGAAACAGGATAAACCCACAAATAAAACCAAACCATGAATCTGTTTACTAAAATCAGAGAAATGGAGAGGGAATGTCCAGATGGACTCACTCAGGTTAAACTGAGTCAGGAAACTCTCTGGTCCCAAGCACAGTCTCGCTCGGTGCTGCAATAGTTGAATAATAAGAACCACCCTGAAGAGATTCCTACTGCCACTGAATTTCAAAGTTTTCATTAGCAATGAGGTGTTTAATTTTTCACATACGTTATTTTAAATTACATTTAAATATTTCACATGAAATTTTAAATTCCCCCTTCAGATAAAAAATGTCCACAGAAACCAGGGGTTTTTTAAAAAAAAAAAAAAAAGTGAACACAAGGCTATTTCAATTTAATACATGGTTAATGCTGGGGTGCCCTGCGCCCTCCCCCATCTGGGGCACCCCACGGGGACCCTCGCTGGCTGCTGTCACCTGGCTCATCCCCCCCTATCTGGGGGCTGATCACGGCCAAGGCCATCTAGAGCTGTGTTTGCTCTGGGGCCACCAGTCTGAGTTATGGAGTTACAACAAAACCTGATTGCAAGAGGCTGGCGGGACACCTTGTCACCCCCGCAAGGGCCCTGCTGAGTCAGGGACTGGCCCTAGGTGACAGCGGGGGGGGAGTAGGGGCAAGGAAAGGGGGTGTCCAGAGAGGGAGAAAAAAGGTGCAAGCTCAGCTCTCCCCGAGCCTCGTGCCTGCATGGGTGGCGAGGGACAGGAGAAGTGACCTTGTGTCCCCTCCTGTCCCTCGGCGGTGTCAGTAGGGGTAGGGCGAGACGGAGATGAGGAGGAGGAAGATGCTGGGTGCCCGCTGCCCACCGGGGGCCAGCGCCTGCACCTTGAGGCGGTGGGTGCCGGGGTCCCGCAGCGGGCGCAGGGTGGAGATGATGCCCCGGCCCCGCTCGGTGCGGAGGGTGAAGGGGCTGCCGGGTTCCTGCTCCAGCAGCGTGAAGAGGGGGTGACGGCGGAGGGCAGTGCCCGGGGTGAGGTGCACCACATCCCGGCCGGCGGCGATGCCGAGGGGCAGGGTGAGCAGCTCGTACCGCAGCGTTGGGGGGCCAGCCGAGCCACAGTTTGGGGTGCAGCGACCGACACACAGCCTGCAGGACACCCCCGGGTGAAGGGACATGGGATATCTAGAGTGGCCAGGTCACCTGGGTCCACCGTGGCACAGGCACCCTCAGCCCCACAGCACAACTTACCCGGGGCTGGAGCCTCTCCGGTACCCAGCTGGGCACGGCACATCCACACACTGGGCACTGCCACGGGTGTTGAAGCACATCTGGCTTGAGCCACACTGGATCGTGCCCTCCACGCACTCGTCTATGTCTGTGGGCAGAGAGGGCACAGGTCTGAGGGTCCTGGGGTGCCCCAGGTCTGAGTTGGGGATTCAAATCACTGCTTCCCACACCCCTGCCCAGGGGTCTCGGACACAGGCAGTGAGAGGAAAGCACTTCTCAGGGTGCTGAGCCTGGGAACAACCCTCCCTGGGAAGAAAAAAGACTTGCAGCCCCAAAGAGATGACCCCCAGGGCCCTGTGGGGACCAGGTTCAGACCCTGAGGGACATGGGCATGCCCACACTGACCCTGGCAGGTCTTCCCGTTGGGCAGGAGCCGGTAGCCGGGGGGGCAGACACAGCGGTAGGTGCCGGGGCTGTTTCTGCACTCGTGTTGGCACAGGTTCAGCATCTGGCACTCGTCGAGGTCTGTGGGGTGAGAGGGGTGAAGGCAAGCAGGGAAGTGTCTGTCCCCTCCGGTGCCCACTGCCCTGGGGCAGCCTGGCTTTCTCCTCCCCTGCCCGGCACAGCCAAGCCCAGGGAGACCCCAACCCATCCAACGGGGGTGCAAATAAAACAGGTGACAGGGCAGCACTTGGGAGCAGGAGCTGCCTTTCGGGCACAAAGTGGCCTCAAAAACTCCCCGCAAAGCCCTTCCCTGATGCCCACTCACCGCTGCAGGTGCCATTCCTCTTGATGAAGCCCGTGGGGCAGGGGGGGCCCTGGTCACCCAGCCCCGCAGCCTTTGCCACCCGGCGGAGGGCGAGCTGAGTGTAGAAGGACCGTCCCCGTGGGCTGCTCAGCCCCACTGGCTTCTGCCAGCGCAGAACAGGGTCCCGGGGGGTGCCTGTTGTGGCCCCTCCATCCACCCCTGCTGTGCCACACTCTCCCCCTGGCAGCAGGGTCCTGCCGGGGGGGCACAGGCACTCGTAGGACCCCCGCAGGTTGTGGCACTCAAAGGCACAGGGTGGAGGAAACTGCAGGCACTCGTTTATGTCTGGTGGAGGAAAGAGATGAGGGGTTGCAGGCGGATGGGGAAACTGAGGCTGGAGCAGGGCAGGGGAGCGATGGTGGCCTTGCACCCAAGGAGGTGTCCCCCGAGCCCCCAGCTGGTACCCAGGCATGGCCAGCCAGCTGCCAGCGAGCGGTAGCCAGGGGGGCAAGTGCAGCGGTAGGTCCCTGGGACGTTCTTGCAGAGCTGGTTGTAGCGGCAGGTGTGGGACCCCTCCCCACATTCGTCGATATCTGGGGAGCAGAAAGGGGACAAGGTTGGGAGGGACGCGACACCATGCAGCAGGTACCCCCCCACCAGCCTCATGCCCCCCGAAGAAAGGTCCGTACCAACGCAGTGCAGCTGCCCAGGGCTCAGGATGAATCCTGGTGGGCACTGGTCTCCCTCAGCCCCTGAGAAACAAGCAGAGAAGATGAGAAGGGACATGTCACTGCAGGGACGGGCCCTTTGCACCCTCAGCCACCCAGGACTGAAAAGGGATCCCAGCGCCTCCATCCCTGGGAATCCCCTCGTTACCCTCATCAAGCGAGGCATGGAGCTGGAAGCGGAGCTCCTGGGAGGCTGGGTCATACGAGGCTTTGACAGCACTGGCTTGGACATGCTGCACCCGGGGGGGCTGCAGGCCCCCGGGGGGGTCGTACAGGATGGTGTGATTGCAGCGGGCATGGATGATGTGCCCGTCCCTCAGAAAGCTCTGGACCGAGCCCCCCGAGAGCCGCCCCACACCCGTCTGCACGTAGCGCTCGCTGAAATCCTGGGGAAAGGCAGGGAGGGGAGGGTCAGGCCACGGACACCCCCAGGCTCCCAGCATGAGAGTCATGTCCCCGCAGGGAGGACGGGCAGCGCTGGCACCTGCAGCAGCAGCGTGGCCTTGCTGATGCTCTCCGGCACGGAGCCGCGGATCACGCTGTCCAGGAGCAGGCAGCCAGCAGCATCCGTGCCCCGTGCCAGGTGGGTGACCCGCAGGAGCTCCCCTGCCAGGGGGTGGGGGGAAACAGTGAGCAGCAGCCCATGGCACCCCCAAACGCAGCTGCATCTCCAGCTGCGAAGCTCAGCTCAGCGGTGGCTGAGTCCCAGGGGATGGTGCATGGGGGAGATGGAGGTTGAGGTGGGCAGGACCAAGCTCTGCAGCCCCCAACCGATCCTCCTGGGGCCACAACATCCCTCACCTGTGGTAAATTCCAGCTGTGAGTCCTGCTGGAAGGTGCCCCGGCTGAGCAGGAACCCACTCTGGGTCCCCTCACCACTGTGTGCCAAGGACCAGTAAACGGGGGCGATGATGGTGACCAGCACCCGCATCAGCGGCCCTGGGGGTGGGAGAGAGAAGGTGTCACCACGGAGCCAGCATCCTCCTAAAGGGGCACCCAGCCCTCCCCAACCCCCCCTCCATGGGGCACAGCACAAACAGGGGGTGCTGCTTTTTGGGGAAAAAGTCCCTCAAGGTTATCACCTGACCTTCCATGCTCCCCAAGGAGGGGACAGGGGTGACCCAACCTACCTACAGCGGGTGGGATGTTGCTGATGCTGCTCCGGACCACAGCAGTGCCAGAGTGTGGGTCATCCAGCACGCTGGCATCGAGGGCGGCAACATCAAGCTCATGGCCATTAATGACACCAACCAGGCTGCCCCGTGCCCGGTGTGGCTCTCCTGGGGCAAAAGGGACAGGGGCAGTGATGTTGGGGCTGGTCTCCCATGAGAAAGCAGGGCAGTTTCCCATCCTCCCTCTCAATAATTTGTGCGTCAAGAAAACCCCAATTTTCTGGAGGTGAAGGCGGCCAGAGCGAGGGGGACAGTGTCCCTTCCTGGCTGCCAGTGCAGTCCCCAAAGACCCCGTGGGTCCGGGCATCTCGGTGGCACATCAACAGGGGATGCTGTGAGTGTGTCCCCATGCCTTGCGCACACCAACGTGCACCAGCACCCCCCAAACCCTGCTCTGTATCAATCCCCACGGCCCTGGCCCTGACCCCAAGCTTTTATTTGTTTCTCTCTGGCATGCCTGGCAGCAGAACGCCAGCAGCCGCGCAGAGGGCAGGCAGGGCACCCGGCGCTTCCTCCGCGCTGCCAGCCAGCTCAGCCCTCTGCTCCCGGGGGGCAGCGGCAGAGGATGTGCCTGTGCGTTTGGCAGAGCCCCTGGGAAACAGGAATTCAATCACAGGCAGCAAATGCAGGAAGGGAGGGCAGGGGCGAGCAGGGGCACGGGCTGGCACGCAGCAGCTGCTGGGACAAGGGTTCATCTGGGCACGGACCTTCAGAGGAGCAGCGGGAGAGACAGGAGGGTAAGCCAGGGTATGAATCAAGGGGTTTAGAGTAAGGAAAAAAAAGGCAATAACCCTCCAAACCACCATGTAGGAGATTTTGCTGCAGGGTGTATCAGTGCCAGCCCCCTCAGCGAGGTAGAAGACCCTGGGCAGCACCCACCTTGGATGGCCAAGGAGGCATGGGCAATGGCTGACCCCAGGGCATTGCGAGCGAGGCAGGAGTAGGTGGTGGCATCACGGTGGCTGACGGCGGGCAGGAGCAGCGTGGCATTGGGCAGGACACGGGCACGGGGACCCTCGGGCAGGGGCCGCCCGTCCCGCTGCCACTCCACGGAGGGGGTGGGCTCCCCCGACACGGCGCAGTGCAGCAGCACCCGCTGCCCGGCGTGCACCGCCACTGCTCGCGGTGTCACCGTCACCGCCGGGGCACCTGGGCAAGGAGAGGGACGTGGGCAGTGCCACCACATCCCAGCAGTGCTGGGGCTGTTCCTCAGGGGTTATCCGGGGGGGCTGAGGGGTGACACAGTTTGCAGTCCCTCAAAAGAAGGGTGCAAAAAGGGGGCAACACTCACTCTGCAGGGCCAGGGTGACAACTTTTGCTGCTGTGCCCGCATCATTCTCTGCCACGCAGCGGTAGTGCCCCGCATCGGTGCTCTAGCAGGACAAATAGCGTTAGCACAGCACTTGGTTTTGCCATGAAAACTCCCCAAAAAGGGGCTGGCACCCCCAGGCCCCACTCACCTCCACGGCGCGGATGGCCAGGGAGCCGTTCCGCAGCTGGCGCAGGCGCCCGCTGGCTGCCACCAGCACCCCATCCTTGCTCCAGCGGACACGGGGTGCGGGGTGGCCCTGGGTGTCACAGTCGAGGAGAGCATCGCCCCCGGGGTGCTCCACCTGGTAGGTGCTGGGGTCCCCCCATATGGTGGGTGCCTCTGGGGAAGGGAGAGGGGTGGCAGAGGAGGAGGGCTGGCCGGGCACCCCATTTTCCCCACCAGCACCTACCTCTGACAGAGACCGAGGCCATGGTCCTGATGGCACCGGCACTGTTCTCGGCACGGCAGACGTAGGTCCCGCTGTCAGCGCGGGTGGCTGCCTCCCGACGCAGGGTGCTCCAGCCATTCTGCTCCAACACTCCATCTGTGGGGTGCAAACCCCCCCCAAAAAGCACAGACAGGGACCAGTTGGTTATAACCCCACACAGTCAGCTATGCCAACACCCCAGGGACCCCCAAAAGTGGGAAAAGGACAGGGATAGAGCCAGGATGACATCCCCCCCGTAAGCTCAGCATCCTCTGCCTGCCTTGCCCGTGGTCCCCTGGCCACGCACCAGTGACGAGCTGCCCGTTGACCATCCAGGTGATGCGGGGCTGGGGGATGCCTGTGGCAGCACACACGAGCTCCAGCCCCTCACCCCGGCTCAGGGTGATGTCTCCAGGCCGGCGGGTGAAGGTGGGCAGGGTGTGGATGGAGAGGGAGAGACGGCGAACGGCTCTCCCGGCCGAGTTGACCGCCGTGCAGGAATAGATCCCAGCATCCCCTTCCTACACATGGAAAGGGGAGGATGAGATGGGGTCAAGCTTGGGTCTGGGGTCCAGCTGCAGCCCTGGCTCACTGGGTTATGGCTCTGCTGGCTGTTGTGCACCCAAAAAGCCAAGGCTTGGCCACAGCCACTTTTTCCAGCCCATGGTAACAAACCCATACTGCCCTGACCCACCAGCCTGTTACCACGGACTCTACAGGGCTCTCCCTTTGCCAAAGCTTTTTGAAAGCAGCCAGGGGCACATCAGGGTGCAGGACAACCTGGGCTTTCTTTCCTGCAGCAAAAAACACTTGTTTCTCAGCTCTCCAACTTTACAGCTGGCTTGGCTGCAGAAGGGGATGGTGCTCACCTGGACGTCCCGGAGCAGCAGCTCCCCAGAGGGCAGGACGGTGGCCTTCCCCCCGCCACCCCGCACCGGGGCTCCCTCCCGGCTCCAGGACATGCGGGGCTCAGGGACACCGTGGGCAGCGCAGGGCAGCAGCCCCTCCAGCCCCTCCAGGACAGCCAGCTCCACTGGGCCGGCTGCGATGATGGGGGGCACTGGATGGGGGAGGAGGACAGGGACTTGCTCACACCTTGACAACCACATTTTACCGTGAGGTGCTGGGGAAGGAGCTGAGCAGAGGAGGGGTGGGCAACCATCTGAGCCCCTGGGCTTGCCTTACCTTGCACGATCAGCCTGGTCCTCCCTGCAGCGGTGCCCGAGGGGTTGCGAGCCATGCACAGGTAGGTGCCCGCATCCCCCGGGGAGGCTCGGAGGAGATGCAGCTGCCCGTTGGGGAGCACCTTCAGCCTGGGCCCTGCAGGGATGGGCAGGAATGAAGGGCAGAACAGGGCAGCACAGACGTGCCAGGGTGTGGATGGATGGTGTGCAGGGACTGCATCCCCTGCAGAAGTGCCCTTTTTTCTGGGGAGTCCCTGGGGAACGGCTCCAGTAGCCACTGCACCCACCTTGGATGGCAGCTGGAAGCCAGGAGGACCCATGCACAGTGTCACCCAGCAACTTGCTGGGATGCCTTCAACCCCTGGGCACCCAAATCCCCCCCCAGGCAAAGGCTGGCAGGCAGTGCAGGCTCTGCCAACCCCTAGTGGGCTCCCGCTCACCTTCAGCAATGCCAACACCATCCTTCTGCCAGGTGACTTCTGGACGGGGCACACCGGTCGCTTCGCAGGACAGCACCGTGCTGGTGTTGACCATCACCATCACCATGCCGGGCAGGGGCTTCAAGGCAGGGGGCTCTGCAAGCACCAGGGAAGTGCTGCCCACCGGAGGTCCCCCAAGATGTGCCAAGGCAGAGGGAGCAGGACCCCCGAGAGCAGGACCCCCAGGAGCCACACATACCGTGTACCACAAGCTGGAGGTGTTTTCGGGCTGTGCCAGCAGCGTTCCTCGCCGTGCAGATGTAGCGTCCGGCGTGGGCAGGCAGTGCCTGCCTGATCACCAGGGCCCCTGGGAAGAGAGTGAGCAGAGGGGAGGCAGCAGGAGACCTGGCCAGGACCCACCAACCCCACCGGGGCTGGACTGCCCTGTGCCCGTACCTGTGGGCAGGAGGCGGTAGCCCCCTCCTCGGCTGCCCAGCTGAGCCCCCTCCTTGCTCCAGGACACCCTGGGTGGGGGCACGCCGGAGGTATAGCAGGTGAGGACCGCGGGGGACAGCCGGGTGACAACCACGTCCGTAAGGTCATCGGCAATGGTGGGGGGCACTGGAGAGGTGAGGGAGGTGAGGGGGCTGCATGGGAATGCCAAAGGGGATCCCACCCCCATGTGTGTGGGCATAGGTATTTCTATATCCCCTCTTACCCGCCTCCATCTCTAGCCCTCTAGAGGGGACCCAACCCCGTAGGGGGCTGGAGCACACCCACATCACACCTGAGGTGGTGACAGACCCCAGGAAAGCAGCTCTTGGTAAGACCCACAGCCCCCAGGACCTCACCGTGGATGGACACCAGGAAGACCTTCCGTGCCTCTCCAGCAGTGTTGGTGGCAATGCACTCGTACCACCCCTTGTCCCCGGGGCCGGGGCTGGTGATGAGCAGCGACCCTGAGGTCTGCAAGCTGTGTGGGCCGAGCACACGTCGGGGTCAGCCCCTGCCCCACAGAACGAGAGGGGGCAAACCCCACCCTATGGGGAGACTCTTCAGTGGCGGTGCTCTAGGTACCTGTAGGCGCCGGGTGGGAGGTGTGGGTTCAGCGGGTGGCCATCCTTCTCCCACCTGATGTGGGGCTCGGGGGACCCCCAGGTGTCACAGCCCAGTGTCGCTGGCTGCTGAGCCAGCAGGGTGAGGTTGGAAGGTCCAGGAGCGATGGCAGGAGGGACTGTGGAAGGGCATGGAGGTGAAGAGCAGAGGACAGCAGCACATTGTTGCACCGATGAGAGCAGCCCAGCAGCTGTGGGTTGGAGGGAGCTGAGCCCAGGAGGGATCCGTATGGCTCTTCTCCTTACCCAGAACGTGGAGGTCCAGGCCTCGCCGGTCGGAGCCGGTGGGGCTAGATGCCATGCAGAGGTAATAGCCTGAATCCTGGACCTGGATGGGGTCGATTTGCAGGGAGCCTCCTGGGAGGAGCTGCAGCCTGGGGAGGGAGAGGGAGGGAGCCCTGTGAGCTGTAATGCATGGGGACACACAGCTGGGAAGGTGACATGTGACATTGCAGCCAGACGTGGCGAGTGTCCACTGGTCTGCCGTGGGGACAGAGCACATCTCTTTGCGGGTGACAATGCCATCTCTGCTCCAGGCACACCACAACATCTATTGATGTGGAGGATGCCATGAGCTGAAAGCCAGCTCTTGGTGTCACCAACCCACAGAGCCTCGTACCTGTTGCTCTGTTGAAGGGGCAGAAGCCGACCATCCTTCCACCACGTCACCCAGGGCATGGGCCACCCCTCTGCCTGGCATGGCAGTACCACTGAGCCGTTCAGCAGTGCCCTCGCCTCCTCGGGGCCTGGTTGGATCTCCGGGGCCACTGTGGCAGTGTCCAGCCAGCACCAGACAATATCAGAGACAGGGCTCAGGGGATGGAGAACATCAGCCCAGACCAGCACTAGAGGCTGGACATCACCCAAGCCCCATTCCCACCACCCCAGCCTTAGGACACCCCGTAATACTGAACATCCCTGAACTAACAGGGACAGAGCTGGCACTTGCTGCCACCAAAGCCCCATGGCAGGGCAGCATCACTCACCGTGAACCTCCACCCGGACGCGTAGGCTGGTGTCCCCCAGTGTGTTGGTGGACCTACAGGTGTATTCCCCACCATCGGCCGCCCTCACGGCCTGGATCTGCAGGAATTGCCCCTCGGCCAGGACCTGCCTGTGGGCATCCTCCTGACACCCCCGGGGAGTCCCCATCAGCAGCTCTCCCCGCATCGCCCCACCACCAGCATGATGGGCAGGCAAAGGTTCATCCCAGCCCCTGTCCGTGCCCAGTCCCATGTCCCATCACAGGTACCTGCAGCGGGGAGCCCTCCCGGTGCCACTCAATGCGGAGGGGTGGCACGGCATCCTCAGGGCACTCCAGGATGAGCTGCCCCCCTGCCACCGCCGTGATGCTCTGGGTCTCTCCAACACTTGCAATGCTGAGAGGTGCTGTGGGACACATGCCAGATGGGTCAGGGGGTGCCGTGTGGGTTGGGCGCCCTCATACCTGTCCCCGTAAGTCACTCACGGGCCACCAGCTCTGCAGGACCTCATGCTGTGCTCCAGTTCCTGCCCAACAGAGCCTTGGCAGCCCCCACCACTCTTCCTGCCCACCCCCCAGTGACCCCAAGGATGGGTGCAGGGGACGCTCTGATGATCTGGTCCCCTAGATCTCTCTGACCACCCCCCAGCACCCCCTGATAGCACCCTCCTCGCTGCACTGCTGGGGCCACGCTACCTTGGATGCTGACATGGAAGCTCCTGCTGTCCTCCCCGGCGGAGCTAGCGGCCAGGCAGGTGTACAAGCCAGCATCGGCCACCTACGTAAAGCCAGGAGAGGGAGAAGTTGAGGCATGAAAAGAAAATAGAAGCGAGGAGAAGACAGAGGAGCCCCTACCTTAGTGCTCTCAATGTGGAAGGTGCTCTCGTTCCCCGACACGAGCCAGGGCCCTGCCAGCAGCCGTCCGTCCTTCTCCCAGGTGACGGTGGGCACGGGGACCCCTGTCACCACACACATCAGCTCTAGTGGGGTGCCCACAACAATGGACATCTCGGTGGGCTGGGACGCAGCCTCTACGCGGGGTGGCTCTGCAAGGCACACAGTGAGGCAGAGAGACTCATCCCCGCATTGATCCCAAAAAATTGGCTAAGCTGCCCTTCCCAAATCCCCGGGGAAAGACACGCACCCGACACCTGGAGGTGGAAGGCTTTGCTGACCTCCCCTACCTCGTTGGCCGCCAGGCAGGAGTACACCCCCGCATCAGCTGGCCCCACGGCCACCAGGCTGAGCCGTGGGCCACCAGAGACGTGGTTGCTCTGCCATGCCAAGGGCTTGCCATCCTTCATCCAGGTCACCGCCGGTGCTGGGGACCCAGTGGCTTCACAGGTGAAGGTGACATCGGAGCCCTCAGCCACCATCTGCTCCTCGCTGCTCTCAGCTCTCTCCAGGATGGGGGGCACTGGGGAGGGAGGGGTTCCCTTTAGGGGGGACATGGGAGCAAACTGGGGATGGGTTTGGCAGTTCCCTGGTGCCCTGTGAGCACCCAGAGGCAGCTCAGCCTCCCTGCAGGGTGCTCTGGGACTGATTTCAGGCTGGTCCTGCCTTGCTCCATCCTCTCCCAGCCCACCTCGATGGCCAAGAGATGGCTCAGGACCCTGCTTGGAAGTGGGGCTGGCTGCAAAGCACAACACATGCCAGCAAAATTGGTGCCCCCTGCTCTGCTCTCCCCAACCCCCTTCCCGCTGCCCCATACCCCGTATCTGCAGGACGAAGCTGCGATCGGCGACCCCTGCCCGGCTGGAGGCGATGCAGGTGTAGAGCCCGGTGTCAGAGACCTGTGCCTGGGAGATCCTACCCCATGGAGAGGGGCATGGGGAGGAGACATCAGCTCCGGGTAACCCCACTGCACCTCAAGGTCTCCACGCTGACACGCAGCCACCTCAGGGTGCAGCCGTGGGCACCTTGGCACGCAAACCTGGGTACCAGCCCCTGAGCATCACTCCAGGGTGACTTCTTACCGGAGGACGTGCCCAGCAGAGAGCAGGGTGACACGAGGGGACAGGCGCAGGGGCAGCCCATCCTTCAGCCAGCTCACATGCAGGGGAGGGGACCCCCGTGCCTGGCACTCCAGTGTCACTGTCATGGACAGGATGCCACGGACCACCTCCGAGTCATCGGTGCCTCTCTCGATGGTGGGAGGCACTAGGCGAGGGGACAGAGGGGCTGACGGGGCTGCTGGGGGTGGGTGGCCCTGGTGGTGACCCGTGTCCCCCAGCCCTGCTCACCCATCACACTCAGCGTCTGCAGCCGTGCGTCTTCACCCGCGCTGTTCCGGGCCAGGCAGGTGTAAGCCCCCGAGTCGGCAGCTTGGAGCCCCTCGAGGAGAAGGGAGCTGCCGTCGGGGGACATCCTGTGTGGGGAGGATGGGGCAATGACCCGAGTGTCTGTCCCTAAGGAGCCCATGGGGCAGAGACGCTCTGCGCTTGGTTGCTGAACCCAAGCCGAAGATTTTGGGGTGTGCTGCAAGGCCAGCACAGGGGCTGGGACCATGCCAGGGTGACAGTGACCACACCAGGACACTGGGATGATGCTCCTCAGCAAACAGCTGGGATACGCTCATCCCAGCCCAAGCAGGGAGATGAGGAGAAGCAGCAGAGCTCAGCCTTGCACTGCTCTTTGGCACATGGGGAAACTGAGGCACGGACAGGGCTGTGCCATTGCCAGCCTGTGGGACGTGTGTCCATCCACCCCCCAGACTCACCGGGCACGTGAAGGGGGCTGCAGCCTCAGGGGCTGCCCATCCTTCAGCCAGGAGATCTGGGGGGTGGGCTGCCCCTCTGCTCGGCACTCCAGCCTCACCCCCCTGCCCTCCAGCACGCTGTGCTCAATGGGGACCCCTGCGCTGGCGATCCGGGGTGCCACTGCCTCAAGAAGAGAAGGAGATTGAGGAAGAGGAGGTGGAGGAAGGCTCCCCTTTGAGAAAGAGCCCCTGGAAGCCAGGGCCCTGCCAGCAGCCGTCCGTCCTTCTCCCAGGTGACGGTGGGCACGGGGACCCCTGTCACCACACACATCAGCTCTAGTGGGGTGCCCACAACAATGGACATCTCGGTGGGCTGGGACGCAGCCTCTACGCGGGGTGGCTCTGCAAGGCACACAGTGAGGCAGAGAGACTCATCCCCGCATTGATCCCAAAAAATTGGCTAAGCTGCCCTTCCCAAATCCCCGGGGAAAGACACGCACCCGACACCTGGAGGTGGAAGGCTTTGCTGACCTCCCCTACCTCGTTGGCCACCAGGCAGGAGTACACCCCCGCATCAGCTGGCCCCACGGCCACCAGGCTGAGCCGTGGGCCACCAGAGACGTGGTTGCTCTGCCATGCCAAGGGCTTGCCATCCTTCATCCAGGTCACCGCCGGTGCTGGGGACCCAGTGGCTTCACAGGTGAAGGTGACATCGGAGCCCTCAGCCACCATCTGCTCCTCGCTGCTCTCAGCTCTCTCCAGGATGGGGGGCACTGGGGAGGGAGGGGTTCCCTTTAGGGGGGACATGGGAGCAAACTGGGGATGGGTTTGGCAGTTCCCTGGTGCCCTGTGAGCACCCAGAGGCAGCTCAGCCTCCCTGCAGGGTGCTCTGGGACTGATTTCAGGCTGGTCCTGCCTTGCTCCATCCTCTCCCAGCCCACCTCGATGGCCAAGAGATGGCTCAGGACCCTGCTTGGAAGTGGGGCTGGCTGCAAAGCACAACACATGCCAGCAAAATTGGTGCCCCCTGCTCTGCTCTCCCCAACCCCCTTCCCGCTGCCCCATACCCCGTATCTGCAGGACGAAGCTGCGATCGGCGACCCCTGCCCGGCTGGAGGCGATGCAGGTGTAGAGCCCGGTGTCAGAGACCTGTGCCTGGGAGATCCTACCCCATGGAGAGGGGCATGGGGAGGAGACATCAGCTCCGGGTAACCCCACTGCACCTCAAGGTCTCCACGCTGACACGCAGCCACCTCAGGGTGCAGCCGTGGGCACCTTGGCACGCAAACCTGGGTACCAGCCCCTGAGCATCACTCCAGGGTGACTTCTTACCGGAGGACGTGCCCAGCAGAGAGCAGGGTGACACGAGGGGACAGGCGCAGGGGCAGACCATCCTTCAGCCAGCTCACATGCAGGGGAGGGGACCCCCATGCCCGGCACTCCAGTGTCACCGACGTGGACAGGATGCCACGGACCACCTCCGAGTCATCGGTGCCTCTCTCGATGGTGGGAGGCACTAGGCGAGGGGACAGAGGGGCTGACGGGGCTGCTGGGGGTGGGTGGCCCTGGTGGTGACCCGTGTCCCCCAGCCCTGCTCACCCATCACACTCAGCGTCTGCAGCCGTGCGTCTTCACCCGCGCTGTTCCGGGCCAGGCAGGTGTAAGCCCCCGAGTCGGCAGCTTGGAGCCCCTCGAGGAGAAGGGAGCTGCCGTCGGGGGACATCCTGTGTGGGGACGATGGGACAATGACCTGAGTGTCTGTCCCTAATGAGCCCATGGGGCAGAGACGCTCTGCGCTTGGTTGCTGAACCCAAGCCAAAGATTTTGGGGTGTGCTGCAAGGCCAGCACAGGAGCTGGGGCCATGCCAGGGTGACAGTGACCACACCAGGACACTGGGATGATGCTCCTCAGCAAACAGCTGGGATACACTCATCCCAGCCCAAGCAGGGAGATGAGGAGAAGCAGCAGAGCTCAGCCTTGCACTGCTCTTTGGCACATGGGGAAACTGAGGCACGGACAGGGCTGTGCCATTGCCAGCCTGTGGGACGTGTGTCCATCCACCCCCCAGACTCACCGGGCACGTGAAGGGGGCTGCAGCCTCAGGGGCTGCCCATCCTTCAGCCAGGAGATCTGGGGGGTGGGCTGCCCCTCTGCTCGGCACTCCAGCCTCACCCCCCTGCCCTCCAGCACGCTGTGCTCAATGGGGACCCCTGCGCTGGCGATCCGGGGTGCCACTGCCTCAAGAAGAGAAGGAGATTGAGGAAGAGGAGGTGGAGGAAGGCTCCCCTTTGAGAAAGAGCCCCTGGGGACCCCCACCCACCCTGGGGAAGCCCTACCTCGCACCAGCACCATGAAGTCCTTGCGTGCTGTGGTGGCCAGGCCCCGTGCCAGGCAGGTGTACCAGCCCTGGTGGAAGGGCTGCAGGGGGCTGAGATGGAGTTGCCCCCCCCCAGACACCAGGCCCCGCTCCGGGCTGCTCTCTGCAAGGAGATGGGGTGAAGGGGGCTGCAGCAGAACTCCTCCATCAAGCCCTCCCCTGGCACATTGTCACACTCCCTCCTTCCCACCCCCACGACCCAGCTCTGGGGACTCAGTTAAAGCAGGGGTTGGGGCTCTGCAGAGGAGGGTGTTTTCACCATGCGCTGCTGGGGCTTTGCAGGAGAAAAGAGCCACCAGTCTGGGGACAATCCCCTGTCCCAGAGAGTAACCCAAGCACTGGTACCCAGAGAGCTCACCCCCTCATCTCCCCACCACATCCCATACCCACATCCCGTTGCTGCAGCCTCAGGAATGAATCCGAGACCTCTTCAAAACCACGGAGGGAAAACGTCAGCCTCTTTGTGCTCTGCCTCCCCCCACCCCGCCATGGGGCCCTGCGGTGCTCTCACAGTGGGGTTAGAAATGGAGACACTGAGGCAGGACCGTGGTGAGGCTTGGGATGGCAGCCTGGCTCGTACCACCCCCCCGAGCACATACCCAGTGGGCTCCCGTCCTTCAGCCAGGTGATGGTGGCTGCAGGCACACCAGTGACTTGGCAGGTCAGGATGAGGGGGCTCCCCACATCAGCATCCACAGTCTCTTGCTGTGGCTCCTCAATGCCCGAGGTCCCTGGGGAGGAGGAGCAGGGATGGGGTGTGTGAGCAGGAACACAAGGACCAGGGTTTGCCATCAGCTCTTCAATGCGCCCTCGTGGACAGACCTCCTGGCTGAACCCTCTCCACTTACCATGAACGGTGAGGATGAAGTCCTTCTCATCCTGACCAGCAGCATTCAGTGCCACACACGTGTACGTGCCCGAGCTGGAAAGCTGCAGGTGATGGAGCTGCAGCACCTGTGAGTCTGGAAGAAGCAAGGAGCAAGGGGTCATCACTGGCTGGAGACAGCACTGAGTCTGGGCCACCATGCTGGCAAGCTGACCCATCCCTCAGCAGCCAGTCAAACTCCTTGGAGAAGTTTCTGGCCAACAAAGTCCCTCTTTGAGGTCTAAGGGCTCCCTATGCACAGAAGAGAAGGGTTTACAGATTACAACCTTGATCCTTTCCAGCACGGATCACTTGGCAGTGAGCTGGTAGCATGTGGTTATGGCTGGAAGTCTGAGCTCAAGACCCGCATACAGTATCCAGACAGAGAGGTTAGGGGAGTTGAAGCCCACCATCAAGAGCTGGTGGCTGTCAAGCCTTGGAGGACAGGCTGTCATCCTTGCTCATCCCAGCGTACCTGGGGTGACGGTCACCTCCTCACCGAGCTGCAGGGCTCGGCCATCCTTGTACCAGGTGATCTCCGCAGCAGGGTGAGATTGGACATCACACACCAGCGAGACACTGCCATTGACGATGCCGTCGATGCTCTCGGGGTTTGCGCCCACGATCTGGGGTGCTTCTGCTCCAACACACGCCAAAAGAGAGTGCCAGGGGGGAACTGTCACTGTGGAGGCCAAGCTCCCCCCAGGGCTCCCCAGGAGGAAACAAGCACCGAACATCTCGCCTTCTTGGAGCATGCTGGCACCTCGACCTCCTCACACTGGGCAAGTGTGACAAGCACAAGAAGGGTGGGACAGAGGCAGCCACGTGGCTCAGGAGCCACAGGAGACTCCATCCAGCAGAGGAGGAGGAGAAGACAGGAGACTCCATCCAGCAGAGGAGGAGGAGGAGAAGGAGGAGGAACGGGGTAAATCAGCAACCCAGGGAAGGGTTGCTAGGAATGCCTTACCCTGCACGGTGAGGGCAAAGTGCTTCTCAGCTGACCCAACCGGGTTCTCAGCCACACATGTGTAGCTGCCGGTGTCACCTGCCTCCACTGCAGCCACCTGCAAAGGGACACCAGGGCCCTGCTGAGGGCTGCCCTGATCCAGGGAGCTGCTGGAGCTCCCATGGGGACCTCAGCGCCCGGCAAGGCCAGGGCAACCTCCTCCCTGGGGAGGGAACACTGCCCCATCCCCTCCACCTGGTTTCTCCCATGTCACCCCCAGCACAGCCACCCTGCCCAGGGGGACACTGACCTGCAGGACCTTGCCACCCTCCAGGAGCTGGTGCCGTGGACTGACCACGATGGGGACACCATTCCAGAGCCAGGACACCGCCGGCACTGGGTGGCCGGTGGCTTCACACTTGAAGCGGACGGTGCCATTGGTGGTGGCTGTCACCTCCTCAGCTGGGTCCTCCGTGCCACCGTGGATGGCTGGAGCACCTGGGAGCAGGTGGTTATGGGTCTGGCACATACCTCCATCCGCTCCCCACCCCGGCCCCGTACTCACTCAGCACCTCCAGCAGGTAGTGCAGGCGGTCCCATCCCACCGCGTTGGCCGCCTCGCAGGTGTACCTGCCCGCGTCCTCCTCCCGCACCGCCTGCAGCTGCAGCACCCGGCCCCCTGCGGCACAGGGCAGGGTTGGAGCAGGGAATGGTTCCACAGGGATCAGAGTGTCCCCTCCAACCTCTGCAGTGTCCCACGGCCGCCGTGTGTGCTGGCAGGAGCATGGGGACCGGGTCCAACCTCCCCCACGCTATGGATGCTCTCAACCCACAAAGCTGCTGCAGGAAACCCCCCAAACCTCACACCGAAGGTCCATCCCCATTACCTGAACCCCACACCAAGGGTCCATCCCCATTACCTAGCAGCATCAGCACCCCTGGGCCAGGGGAGAGGGGCTCCCCGTCCTTGTACCAGGTGAGCTGGGGGGGTGGGATGGCGTTGGTGTCGCAGTAGAGCGCAGTGGGCTGGTTGAGGATGGCTTGCTGGTGCTCTGTCACCTCCCCGTCCTGGTCTTCCTCGCGGTAGAAGATCTCAAGGGCTTCGTTGGGGCTTGTCTGCTGCTGGAAGAGGGGTGGCACTGCGGGGACAGGCTGTGGTCAGCTGTGAGGAATGGGGACTTGCACCCCCAGGTGCAACCAGAGCATCTGCCCAGGCCTGACTGGGGCCAAGGAGATGTCTGTTTTCCAGCAGATACAAACCCTCTTCCTGATCACCCTGCTCTGCTCCCCATGAGGGACCCCACTAAGGACCCCTCCTCTTGCTGAGACACCTGCTGCTCCAGGCACTGGCCAGTTGCCCAGGGCTCACCTTGGATATGCACGATGAAGTCCCTGTCATCTTCACCCACAGCATTGGTGGCCACGCAGGTGTAGTGCCCTGAATCAGACACGCTGGCTGGTTTGATCTGAAGGACCTGCCCCTCGCTGAGGATCTGGAGGTGGCCAGTGCTTTCCAGGAGCTGCACAAGCATCCCAGCCCAAGGCAGGGAAGAAATTGGAGGATTACACAGCCAGGAGCGGGACAGAGCCCAGGCAGCCATATAAAGGGCATCTTTCAACTCCATCCACCTAGGATGGTGGCAGCAGTTGCAGTTAGGACCTCACCTGCTTGTCCTTGTACCACCGAATGGTTGGCTCCGGCACAGCCCAGGTCTCGCACTCCAGCATCACTGTGCTGTTGACCCTGGCTTTAACCTCTTTCATGGCAAATTCCCCCAAAGGGTCATCTCTGGCAATCCAAGGAGGAACTAGTGGGGAGAGACGACACAGTTGGGATGAGAGAAGAGCCCCCAAACTCTTACTCTGCCTAATCAGTGACAGGCAGCCACAGGGATCAGAGTGTCCCCTCCACCCTCTGCAGTGTCCCACGGCCGCCGTGTGTGCTGGCAGGAGCATGGGGACCGGGTCCAACCTCCCCCACGCTATGGATGCTCTCAACCCACAAAGCTGCTGCAGGAAACCCCCCAAACCTCACACCGAAGGTCCATCCCCATTACCTGAACCCCACACCAAGGGTCCATCCCCATTACCTAGCAGCATCAGCACCCCTGGGCCAGGGGAGAGGGGCTCCCCGTCCTTGTACCAGGTGAGCTGGGGGGGTGGGATGGCGTTGGTGTCGCAGTAGAGCGCAGTGGGCTGGTTGAGGATGGCTTGCTGGTGCTCTGTCACCTCCCCGTCCTGGTCTTCCTCGCGGTAGAAGATCTCAAGGGCTTCGTTGGGGCTTGTCTGCTGCTGGAAGAGGGGTGGCACTGCGGGGACAGGCTGTGGTCAGCTGTGAGGAATGGGGACTTGCACCCCCAGGTGCAACCAGAGCATCTGCCCAGGCCTGACTGGGGCCAAGGAGATGTCTGTTTTCCAGCAGATACAAACCCTCTTCCTGATCACCCTGCTCTGCTCCCCATGAGGGACCCCACTAAGGACCCCTCCTCTTGCTGAGACACCTGCTGCTCCAGGCACTGGCCAGTTGCCCAGGGCTCACCTTGGATATGCACGATGAAGTCCCTGTCATCTTCACCCACAGCATTGGTGGCCACGCAGGTGTAGTGCCCTGAATCAGACACGCTGGCTGGTTTGATCTGAAGGACCTGCCCCTCGCTGAGGATCTGGAGGTGGCCAGTGCTTTCCAGGAGCTGCACAAGCATCCCAGCCCAAGGCAGGGAAGAAATTGGAGGATTACACAGCCAGGAGCGGGACAGAGCCCAGGCAGCCATATAAAGGGCATCTTTCAACTCCATCCACCTAGGATGGTGGCAGCAGTTGCAGTTAGGACCTCACCTGCTTGTCCTTGTACCACCGAATGGTTGGCTCCGGCACAGCCCAGGTCTCGCACTCCAGCATCACTGTGCTGTTGACCCTGGCTTTAACCTCTTTCATGGCAAATTCCCCCAAAGGGTCATCTCTGGCAATCCAAGGAGGAACTAGTGGGGAGAGACGACACAGTTGGGATGAGAGAAGAGCCCCCAAACTCTTACTCTGCCTAATCAGTGACAGGCAGCACCTTGGGGTGCTGCTGACACCCTCAGACAGACCCCCTTCACCCTCCCCAGGGTAGACCAGAGGTTTTCTGGGGCCACGTGCTGATACATTTCTGGTACGAGCACCAGTTGTGAAAGGTGCAGCTACCCAGGTGAAGGTACAGGAAGGGAAGGGCCACAGTGGTGGGGTTGCTGCAGGAATTAGGAAGGACAGGGAGAGCTCCCGCACCCAGGACCTTCACAGAGTAGTTCTTCATGGCCTCTCTGGCTTCATTGGCCACGATGCAGCTGTATGTGCCCGCGTCCTCTTCCTGGGCGTTCAGGATCTGCAGCCCATGGCCACCTGGGCAAAGAGGATCTCCTCAGAAGGTTGTCCCACAGCCACAGATCTCTATCCCCATGCAGTACAAGAAGACATCTTAAAGGACCTGCTTATCACCTGCAAACCTGATTTGAGAGGGTTTAGTGCTCTTCAAGAGCCCAGTTTCCAGGCTGGAAAAACCGGTGCTATGTCACTGATGCTGCCAAGGAGGCTCTAGCTATTATCAGATGATATAGCACATGGAAGACCAGCATCAGCTGATGGCCTGAGCCCCTTGGGTCCTGCAGGACAATGACTTCTCACCATCCCACTGCCCTAGACTACAGCTAGACCCAGAAAAGGCACCACTCCCACTCCCCAGGGCATAGAGCAAGGGGCCACACCACAGTCATGCAGAGCCCGAGGACACCGGCACAGTACCAGGGAGCAGCTGGACGTTTCTAGACACTTTGAGGGGAACCTCATCCTTGAGCCAGGTGATGTTGGGAGATGAGTATGGCAGAGCCTCGCAGACCAGGGAGATGGGGTTGTTGATGATCACTGTGACTTCTTCTGGACCGGCAGCGGCATCTCCAGCAAACGTAGGACTGGCTGCAGAGATGTGTTTGCATGGCAGACGAGCATTAGCACCCACTTAGGATTAGTGCTTCATCCACCCACCAGAGAGCACAACCCCAGCTCAGGGAGCTGGACTTGACCACAGCATGTGAAATGCACAGCACAAGCCCAGTCTCAGTCTGTGCCCTCCAAAAGCACAGCGGACACAGAAGACATTCACCGCCTTCCCACAAGCCATCATCAGAGATAGACCCCTCATTCGATGACCCCTTCAAGAGGTCTCATGAGGGCTTTCTAGCAGGCCCAGGACATCATGCCATGCTGCTGACTGTAGGGTTAAGGGATCCTCACCACCTACCTGAGGCAGGCAACTAAAAAGCCCACTGATGTTCCCTGCTCACACCTGAGATGCTGCCTCCATCCAAAGGCATCTCATACCTGAAACATCCAGCAGGTAGTGCTTGGTCTGATCTGCCACGGCACTAGAGGCCACGCAGGAGTAGCGGCCAGCATCAGACAGAGAGGCTTGGGGGATGTGGAGCACGGAGCCATCAGGGGAGATAGAGAAGGTGTTTCCATTAGGCAGAGGGTGGCCATCTTTCAGCCAGGTGATCTTTGGCTGGGGGTTGCCTGTGCAGGGTGGAAAGCAAGTTTTGGCCTTCATGCAAAGTTTTTCCATGTGTGAGCACAGCCTGACCGGGGTCACTGCGCCAGAACTTTTCTGGGAAGCAGGGACATCAACCCAAATCCAAAGTTATCACGAACTGGATCAGATTTTTAGAGGCTGCTGGATGAGGCAGCAAGAAGAAAGAAGCTGTCCTGAGTAGGAGGTGATTGATTATTCCCATCACTAAAAAAGAAACCAGATTAGAGGAATTTTAGCTCCATTTGGAAGAGATTGGAGGTTACGTCGTGGAACAATCTCCCCGCGTGGGTCCAGCACTTCCCGGACAGCCCAACTGCAAAGCCAGGAACTATCCCAAAAAACCTCTTAAGCCGATTTCAGCTGTTTTCATGTCATTGACTGGCGCCGTCCATGTGCTCCACACCCCGAAGGGAGACTCAGGTCCCTAAGCCCCATCTCCCACCTGCTCGCCCCAGCTCCACTCCCTGTGTGGTAGTCACCTGCAGCCAAGCAGGACCAGGTAACGGGGTGACCCTCAGGAACTTTGGTGATCTCTTCTTCATCCGCATTCTCGATGTGGGGAGGAACTAGGAACACAAGCCACCAGGGAACTCAGCAGCTGACCAGCTTCACTGAGCCTCCAAACTCATGTGCTAAGGCACAAAGGACTCCAGCACTGCAGCTTCCATCATGCCCAGTCCTAACTCATGACTGTCCTGGTAAGGGTGAAGTTCTGAAATCCTACCAGGAATACTGCAGTAGATGGAGGACTCCTCCTTACCTAGGACCTCCACATAGAAATGTCTCCTGGCTTCCCCAGCTATGTTGCTGGCCAGGCAGGAGTAGTGGCCACCATCCTGGGCTTCTGCACGGCTGAGTCTCAGCACCCAGCCCCCTGGAAGCCAAGAAAGAGAAAGGTCTCAGGGCCCTGATCCAGGCACCAGTCCATCCCAGCAGTGCTCCTGCAGGGCTGGAGCTCTGCTGCATTTACACCCATCACACTGGGGCAAAATGTGTTCCCAAAGCTCCCATCTCTCCCAGCATCCATGCCTCATCCCTGACCTGAAAGCACATGCGTGTGTTCACTGGGTGTGATGGGAGAGCCATCCCAGGACCAGGTGACTGTAGGCAGAGGAACACCAGTGGCCTCACAGGTCAGTGTCAGGGCTCCATGCAGAGACACAGTGACATTGGTTGCAATTCCCGATCCTTGAACGAACTCAGGAGGAACTGGGGATGCAGAAGAGGATGGACATCCACTTGCAAAGCAGTCACCAAGACAGCAGAAGAATGAAGCAAACCGAGTGAGTAAACCTGGCTTGTTCCCACCCCCCTGCTTTACAGTTTGAGGATGCAAGCCCAGAAGACCATATGCATCATCTGAAGTTGTCAACCTTAAAGGCGTTATGGGATGGGTGACTTACAGCAAGGATGTGCCACCTACCCACACTCTGAAGCCCACGCTTACAAGTGTGACACCAAGCTGGCCACACACCTCAAGCCACCTCAGGCCTTTTCCAGTTCAAGTGCTTGGTACCTTGACCCATGAGGTTTCCCCAAGTCCTTGGAAACTAGATGACTTTAGGGAAGCGTGAGATGGTCTGCTTTAATGACCCTGGAAAGAAACTCCAGCCTGATGAAGCCAATTCTACAGCTATGCTTACAGCATCCCCCTTCTGACCCAAGATCTTCTGTGTGCTGCGTTGACCAAGACCTCCGTGTCATCTTGTTCTCCACACTCGTGCTGTCGGACATCACCACCCTCCCAAGCCTGCCTGCACCCATGCCCCCCAGCCCTGTCCCGCACCCCTACCGTGCACCGCAACGTCAAACTCTCTCCACTCCTGCCCTGCCACATTTGTCACCAGGCAAGCGTAGCGTCCTGCATGGGCCACCTCCGCCTTGGGGATGCGCAGCTGCCTCCCCTGCTCCGTAAGCAGGATCCCGTCCCCACTGGCCACTGGCTGCCCATCCTTCACCCATGTCACCGTGGGCAGTGGTGTCCCCGTGGTCTCGCACTCCAAAACCGTCTCGCCAGCCTTGATGACAGAAACCTTCTTTGGGCCTTTCCTGCTGCTCTGGATCCTCGGCAGCGCTGTGGGGCAGAGGGACACAGGGTGGAGGTGACACTCACAACTCCCGTGGTTGTATGCAAGTGGATGTGTGAATGCCACCAGTCTGGATGGTGGCAGCAGGAATGTGAAGCAAATGTGAGGGGGGGGGTAATTAGTGCAATGGGGCTGCTGGAGTGAAAACCAGCTGCAATCAGCTGGAAACCTGGGGGGGGGGGGGG